CCTATCTCTGCCATTTAACTTTCTATATATATATATTTTTTAAATACAAAATCCATCAATAAATTGTAGTCACTGGATTCAAACAACCAAGAAATGGGCAACACAGTGCTCCCTATAGCAGCACCTTGGCTGGATAGGACTATATTTCTTAGAATTGGCTCAATATTGCCTTAGGTTTCTGCAAGACAACTTCACAGAATTACAGTATCAGCTGTATCTCTGCTCTTTTCAGGCAAGGCAGAAGGTCAAAGCATGGTGCCCAAGTCAAAACAACTTGTTTTAGGATCAAAACAACCCCCCTCACATTATATTTGATGCAATATTTGAACTCAATCATTCTCTCTCTGATAGTCTGCATCTGAAATACATCCTCTGCAACCTTGCTGTAATCCAGCCTGCTGCCTGAAATGATAAGAACAATGCTATCAACCCCATAGCCAGACCAAAGCCAACTTCATGTTTTATTATTAACAGGACAAGACCCTTCAATAGCTTAGCAATGTTCCCTGTTCTATGACATCTGCTGTCTGAATAATGGCTTTCAGATCACCCTGCTATGCAAATTACTAGAAAGAGGTTTCTCAGCAATGGCCCCATGGACAAGAGGCATTTACACACCTGGCCCCTTTCCAGCCTACTTTTGAAGTAGGCAAGAACTTAACTGCTTAATCAGGTCTTTAAGAGCACTAATTAAAAACACTTTTAGGGTGATAGTTACACCTGTTCTTTCATTTGTAATATATTGCCAACTACTTTGCCAGTAAATGTTGAGAGCATTATTTATAAATACTGACTATAACCTTTTTAAAAAACAGGTTTCCGATGATCAGCAGCTGGTGAGCAGTGATTCTCCCCATGATTTCTAATGCCTTCACTAGAGACATAGTTTTACCACTGGACAATGAAGACACATCTGGTTCAGGAAAGAGCCATTGAAGAACATAGAAAATTCCTTTAAAAATTGAATGTTGCTTAATTTCATTAGGAAGTAATTCTGTCATTTTAGTTATGCAGATCCTAAAATCACTGTTTTCCTTTTTTCCTCTTCCCTGTATTCCAAAAGTCATTAATCTTACAAAATAGCATTTTATTTTGTAAAAAAAAATGGGGCATAGCTATGCTGTTTGGATTACTACAAACCTGTCATTAATGGAATGATATTCTTTTTTTAAAAAAAAAATCTAAATGTTTTAAAATGACTTACTGCATATTACACGAGTAGATAGCATAATTTCCAGGTTTTTTTAAAAATCACACATTTGTAATTTGTTTGTAACACAAATTAACAGTAGCAAGGTTGGATAAGCTGCTCTGAAAGTATTAAAGGCTATATTTTATAATACTACAATCCTAATTTTAAGATTTTTTTGAGATTTCAGTAGAACCTTTCTACATACAATCATGCAAATCATCACCATGACACCTTGCTTCCATCACACCCATATAGTACACTAATTTTTATGTCTTATTTTTAACACTTCACCCCTTTTTGAGGATAAAAAGAGGGCTACTGTGTTTGCAATTGATTCTCATTCATAAACCACCTAATATACTCATTTTATATTCAATCCTCATTCATTTTTCATCTTCATTCTTGATTCTATCGTTTTTAGTTTTACCACACAAATATAACCTTTGTTTTTTTCCTGTGAACAGAAACACACGCATCATGGCTTCTTTTGATGAACATTAATTTCTTGTAGGATACAAATTATATACTTGCTAGTACCTATGTAGCATTTCTCCATTCTCCCATCTTTAAAAAACATGATACCAAGCTAGACAAATTCATCTACTTATTCCAATTTTCATCTTGATGGATAATACATTTACATACCTACATACATTTTACCCAATATTAAACAAAATTACTATATTGTGCTACCAATCAAGGAGAGTAATTTCTTTTCCCAACAACTACTACTTCAAAGGCTTTTGCTATAAGCTTTGAGAAGTGTCTCATCCATCATACTTACATTAACAGTTTATTTTAGATAACAAAACTACTTTAGCAGCATTGGTAAGAGAAATCAAAACATGTACTAGTTTATAATAACTCATCCTTCAAAGCAGCAATTTAAAGAAACATGTTTGCACCCATTTTACTTGTAGAATTTGTTTTTACTAAAATTTGTAGAACTCACTCATATTTACTTTTGGTACTTTATTGAAATAGACACTAATTATCAAAAACATCAGCTATAAATTCAATTTACATATTCCTCACATATTTCCTTCAAATATACGATGAATGTTTTTACTGAAGAGATCTTTTCCCTCCCCTGCCATCCTCCAACTTTCTACCTGAAAATCTTGTATTGAATTCCATCCTAATTACAATAAATGCCTGTAGTAAAATATTTATTGGTTTGTAAGTTAACAATGCTGTACTATTAGAAAATTTTTGTATGTATGAAAATATTTTTCCAGTAACAAGTTTCAGCATATGAATCAGATGTTTTCCTTGTTACCTTCAAATTGTTGACAAATGAGCATGACTCACTTTTGTTATTCAGGTGGAGCATACTGACAAAAGTCTACGACAAACAAAGTAATTGCAAGTGAGAAGTTTTAGAATTTAAATGTGTTTTCAAATTTCAAAATTACATCAGAATAAAGACACCACAGTTGAAGTACTCATAACATTCTCTTAAAGTATTTTGCAGCTGTGTATGCAAAGGCTCTCCACAGTTACTGTTCATGCACTTTTTTTTACAATATTTGGCATTAAAAAAAACCTGCAGCAGCAATTAGTACTTTACACAAGGAAATAAAATTTTATTCTGCAGTAAAATAACCCTTCTTTATAGCAGATTTCAAAATGTTTAGCATGTTGAACAGGAATACTCACAATTACTAGGTTCACAGGACTTGATAGCATATGCTAATATAAAAACAGCTAAACTTCAAAAGATTTTACACTAAGCCTAATTTTCAGAATCTGTCCTAATTTGACTTTTTAATATTGTGAACAAATATCATTCAGAAGTTCTAGGAGGACTAATACATGCCATTCAAGTAATGTCAAGCTTTGAACTACTAGTTTGTGCCTCCAACACTGGAAGTTTTTAAGAAGAAACTGGACAGCCGTTTGTCTGAAATGGTATAGGGTTTCCTGCCTGAGCAGGGGGTTGGACTAGATGACCTCCAAGGTCCCTTCCAACATCATCATCATCATCATTTCTGTCCCTTAGGTTTTCCACTTAGCTTTCTATTGTTAGTTAAAACAATTAGGCAACAAAATATGATGGTAAATAGCATTTTGATGCTATTTGGATAATGACTCAGGTACTATTCTTCTCTTTAGCTAATTAAAATCATCCATTCCATATCAATATTTTTCTAACTGTACAATGTGTAAAACTGCAATAGGACTGTATGGTAAGCTCCTCAGTAAATAACACGATCATGGAATTTTACAAAAGGTATCAAAAAGATGGGGACAATCTATGAAAACTTCCCACTGAAAATGGAGCTTTGGGGAGGACAAATTGGATGGTTGAATCTCTATGAAATGCCTATGGAAAAACATGAACCCTTGCACTAAATGAGGACTTATTCATCTTTTATAACCTTCTGCACATCTCACTTAATACTGTAGTACAGTAGACCTTTACAACATGACCATTGAATATCTAGTTACAGGAACTGCTATAGTAGTAGAAATTCAATGTTTTTCTCTTAAGGGTTATTTGTTTAGGGATTTAAGCTCTTAAAGCAGGGGTATCAAACTCAATTTCACTGAGGGCCGCATCAGCATTGTGGTTGCCCTGGGGGGGCCGGGTGGGTGTGGCCAGAGTGGGTGCAGCCTACTGGGTGGTCATGGATGGAGTGGGTGTGGCCTACTAGATGGCGTGGCCAGTTCTACATCATTCGCGTCAAGGGTGCCTATGGGGGCCTGGGCAGGAGTGGGACAGATCTGAGGGTCTCTGGCAGAAGGGGGTGGGACTGGGGCAAGTGCCAAGGCATGGTCCACTGGGGCAAGTGCCAAGATGGCCACCACAAAATTGTACATTGGTTCCCGGCTGATCTAGGCCAGGGCCAAGGCAGCGGGGGCCATTCCCTCACTGTTTCCAGGATGGCTTTGCGGGCCACGTGAAACCACTTCGCGGGCCACATCTGGCCCCCGGGCCTTGTGTTTGACATGTCTGTCTTAAAGCAAAGGTGAAACCAGGAAATAACTCACACATCTTGAGCATCTGTTCAAGACATGCATTTGGAACCAAAATGGAATAATGCCAGCTACTGCTCTTAAGTTACACAACAAAAAAAATTAAAAATATACGTAGTTGCAAATTTCTACAAAGAAATGCTTTTACAAACTTGAAACATAGTATTTATGTAAACAGGCTTGGGGAGCCAAATTATTTCCTAAAATAAATGTAGAATAAATTCTGGCTACATTTTGAATAGCTTCATAAAATACATGAAGTTTTAATATATATTTTAAGGAATGTTTCAAGATTTTCAAAGTAGGTGGACTGCAATGCCCGTGAAAATTGCACTCTACTGCTTTAAGCATTTTAGAAATTTCTGGCTCATTTACAAACAACCAGAATTGCAACAGTTTTTAGACTGAATAATTTCTTTAGTAACCAGTAACTATTGGATTTAAACTGGTAGATTATCTATTAACTTCTACCATGTAGTTTTTTTATGGCCTATCAATAGCTTTTAGAAAAAGTTGTGTTGTTCCATTAGTTGAAACACCGGTAGCTTACTAGGAAAGGGACTGTTAGTTCAAAGCTCTTGCTATATTGCTGTTTCATTATCTGCCTAGAAATAATGTTAGTATTTATGATTTCAAGTTAATACATAATTTGTTGAGTTCAAGACGTGAATACAATAAATATCAGTTGGGACTTACATAAGCACAGTGGGACTTACATAAAGCAGTGGGACTTACATAAGCACAGTGAGGAGAACTGGCTTTAAAACCCTCAAACATTTAGCCTTTATAATTTTTTAAGTTATGGGAATAAGAATTAAAAAGAGAGAGAGAATCTTCACCTTTTTTAATAATTGTAACTGTTTCACTCTTATCATGAAGGCAGGCCAATAATACTATTATACATTACTAAAATATTATTGTGTTCAAAGAAAGTTACTCCCAGGAAAGTAAGTACAATATTGCAGCCTCCATATATAAAATACAGTTCTTAAAGCACATGATGGCATTCTACTAAAGTGCCCAGTGCTATAAGGCTTTACTCTACCATCAATTCTTCATACAGAGCTGTTATATTATAAAGATGTTCACTTTGAACACACTTTAGTAGATGTATTTTTCTGTTTCTACACTTGTGGTGCTATTGTAGTGTTTCTACTGCCAATTTTACTAACTATCCTGTCAATTTTCATTGGCTGGAAATCTCTATAATGAAAACTTTGATTGGTTCAATACAAGCAATGTAATCTGGTTTTCTACAGCTGCAGCTTTTCCTAGCTAAGGAAAATAAAAGTCTGTGAAAAAAATAATGGCTGAGTGCATGGACTTAAATCTCTCATCCACTAAAAATTATTTTCTAATATTCTGATTAAAAAAATAGCAGTTGCCCAGCCCTGCCTGGATTTGAAACCTTGAGGAGATTTTACATTCCTTATAAAGTATAATAGTAACAGTGCCTTTAGCTGAATATTTAAATCAAGTCCAAATTTCAAGTAATGACCTCCAGTTAGAGGGTATAAGACAAATATTATGAGCTGTATGTAAATTTATGTGCAAATGATTTTCCATTCCAGCCAATATTCAACTGGAGGAAAGAATCAGTTCTTAGTGCAACCATAGTTTTATCAATTCTCACTACAAAAAAATGAGAGAGCCGCTGGATAGACAATTTTGCTCCATAGCGTGTACAACAAGAACCAATTACTATAGAGAAAGTTACTCTTACAATAAATATTCTTTACAAAGCCGCCGCGTAGTAATATGGTAACTGTTACATTACAAAAAACAACAACTGGGTTTGTGTGTGGAGGTTATTTGATCTGGATCATCTCCTGAAGAAACGGTATTCTGAATGTGCCCGTGCACAACTGGTCAGACCACATTGGAAGTTCATGCTGCAAAGGAGTCCTTTGTGGATAGAAGGTGTAATCATGGTCATAGTTCAGTAGGCAACTCAATGAAGCCATGTAGATATCAGCAAAGCGAGACAAGCGTCTTAAGAAATAGGTGGGGTTTTGATCAGTCCTGAATAAGCTTCCGAACCGAGAGTTGAAGAAATTCCTGGTCATTTCTCTGAGGAGAAAAGGGGAGGGGGAAACATTTAGAACAATCAGTGCATTACGTGCCATGAAAAACCTAAAGGTGCTTTTTCAAAAGGCTTTCTTGGTTTTTTCCTTGAAAATATTTCACTTCTCATCCAAGAAGCGTCTTCAGTTCTTCAGCGACATGTTTTCAAGGAAAAATACTAAAAAATTCCAGTTGCCTTTTGAAAAAGCAGCTTTGGGACATCCATGACCTGGATTATTGAGAATCTCCATAGACGTACCTTGAAAGATTTATTTTGGATCGGAGATATTTAGAATGTATAGGACAGATTTGTTTTTATATCAATAAGGCCTCAAAATCAAAGCTGTTCACTGAAGAAAGGCCACTCAAGAAAGGAGAAAAATATATATATACTTTTACCATCTTTTCATTTATGCCCCATCTTTCCATGGGGAATTCGGTTGTAGGGTACACAGGGTCTCTCCTTATTTCTCCCCTACAACCACCATCCTCTGAGGTTTGGGGACAGAGGGGGTGCAAAATAAGTTAGTGAATTACATAGTTGAATGTGGATTGGAAACTTTAACAATGACCTACCCTCGGTTGGCTTAATTTCATATCTTACTCTGTGATATAATGCAAAAGCATCATGTAACCAAAAGCAAAACTATACTCAATGCTCAATCACCTATCAAGAATAGATGAGCTATATGACAAGTGAGATGGAGATAGACAGAGCCAGAAAACATACACATTTGAGTTATTGTGTGTTTATGTCACAGAGTGCCCAGGGTCACACTCTTTGAGTTGGGTGGGCTTGAAAATAAATACTCTACAAACAAGCTCCCAAATCCTCATAGTTGTTACTTAAATTACATCAGATATGTTTTTGTAGTCTTATAATTAATGTTACAAGAGACAGAACTAAAAATAAAAATGTAGTTAACATTTTTAAGAGTAAACATTCAGAATTCAATGGAGCTGAATTTCCTATACATTAATTATTGCTATTAACAAAATTATTAGTAAAATAAGCAAGTAAGGACTAATTTTATAACATTGATATATCGGATCAATTTTTTAAAATTTAGAATGTACCATATATGTTCACAAATAATCCAAGAATAACCCCCAAAATTGAGTTCAGTTTATTCTTGGATAAACTTATACACAAGTATCCAATTTTAATATTTTCATATTTACCGCATTTCCTTTCTTTCCTTTTTCCACTCATTTAATATCATTTGGCAATCAGGATTCTTGTGAATCTGAAATGACATGATATAAATGATATATATTTGTGAGTTTTAAAATAGACCGTATTTGGACACATTTGTAAGTATAACAGATGGGCAGGACAGATTGAATAAGAAACATGAAGAGAGGTTTTATTTTTAAAAAATTAGCCATATCACAAGCATACAGTGAAAGCAATATAAACGTATGTTTGCATTTTAATATCAGCACCGTGATTTGAACTTTATTATCATCACTAGGGCAAAAGAACATTAGTTAAAGATCCCTCTAATTATTAAGTGGGCATAGAATGGGAAACAAGAGGTTAATCTCCATCTAGCCCATCTAGAGTTTACATGCATCAATTCTAATGGTTTCTATACTTCCTATTTTTATTTGGAATACCAGCATGGGAGAGAAAAAAACAGAGGTGGGGATGAAAAGAATGGAAAAAAGTAAAGAACAAACCTGCATATGTTCCAGCAGTCCAGTGAGGGTTTGCAGCCAGGTCATAGTCTGAATATATTGCTCAGTATTCATGATCTTAATCTCTCTTCGTAATTCTGGAATAATTGCCCCTGTTCGCCAGCCGTGTTTTAAGGTCAAATCCTTTTTTGCCGACAATGATCGCAAAAAAAAAGGAAAGAAAGAAAGAAAAGAAAACCATTTGTATTCATTTCATTTAAAACATACTTTCTATTCTTTCAGGTTAGATGCTATCTGAAGATATCTATACTTTTACATAAATGGATCTTAGTTATATCGTCATGCAATAATTAAAAGTGTAAAACACACCCATTCTAAACCAGGTAATCAGACTTGAGGGCAAAGGGTAAATAAATAAAGCACAAATAATCAGATATTGTTTGGTCAGAAGAAAAAGAGTAAGTAAATTAGAGAAAGGAATTTAAATCAGAAAATGGTAAAATATTAACAGGACCTGCATTAAATAAATCAGGGAGATATTTTTCTCTTGCAACAGTTTGGTCAGCAATATTAACAATATAAAAACAGTATAATCTGTACCGGCAGGTGAAGAGAAAGTTATAAGTTTGGAACTCTGAGCTCTATTTCAATTATTATTGCAGAAAGTTACTGCTACTAGGAAGAAACAGGCTGCTGAAAGCTGTATAAAACAAATTCAAAAAATATACATAACAATAAGGTAAGAGCCTTATGTTTTTTTCTGAAGACCAGACTAATCCTACTCAAGACTTTTCCCCACTTTTATTGCAAAAATGTGGTCCTTTGCCCTTTCTAATTTTTAAAGTAGCCCTCTATATAATTAATTACATAATATATAGCTCATTCTTCTGTATCACACCAGCTTCATTTAAAAAAAAATACATGGGGAAGAAAGTACTTACAGCTAGATCACTGTAAATATGATCACCAAAATATAAGACTTTGGAACCGCGCCAACCAGTCAGTTTCAGAAATTCATACAAGTTACCCTAAAAGAAAGATTTGGGAGAAGGATAGTAGTTGCCAGCCAAATTTTGTTACTGTTGATCTAGAAATCTGATATCAATGTTCTCATTAATGCAAAATGTCCTCTAATCTATTAGCCCTGAGATTACATTGGTCTTGTTGATATGGGTAAGATTGCCTAAATTAAGCTTCTCTCCTTTTTACGTAATGCTTTAAGGAATATTCTTAAGATCAATTTTGGGGACAGAGGAAAATAAGAAATATAGCTATTGTCTAGACTAACTAGACAATATTTTTAGACAATTTTGTCTTGCACATGCAGTTCATGAAACTGTAGAAGACAAGCTGTTCAATTCACATGGTACAATTTGAAGTAGTAACAGCTTTCTGGGGGCTCTGATCTTTTCCAGACCTTTGAATAGAATTTCAGAGACTTATCTTATGACAATGCCAAAGGATGAAATTGTGAAAATGAAAGCAATTAATTCACAGTTTGTGTTATTCAAGCTTTCACTGAGCATTAGTAATTCTGGGCTTACTGTTTCAATTTACAGGCCATTATATTACAGTTCACATTGATCACAGAAAAATTCAGCACAGCAAATCAGACCAATAATCTCTGTACTGGTTAAAATAAGAACTAGTAGTGTTTAACAGTATCCAAACAGAAGATTTCTCCAATCTGAGGTCTGAATTATAAATCTTTTTAAGGTAACAGAGTTCATTCACTAAGCTACAGTCCTTTTTCCATGATTCATATTGTTACAATTTAAAATGAATAAAATAAAATAATTTCCTTTAGAAACAGCAAGGAAAAACCAATATGATAGAGAATTAAATTAGTTTCATTTATTGCTATCTCTTTTATCTTTATGTTTCACAATGCAATATTTATTTATTTGTTTTTATCCCGTCTTTATTATTTTTACAAATAAATATCTAGTCAACATAGTCATTGTAACAATGTAGTATAAATATGAAATAACCATTGTTTCAATTGTTTATTCTGTTTTACTTTAGCATGATTGCTAGCTGGTTTGAAAATACAGGTACATTTTAAACATAAAAAATAAGAAATAAGAAAAGAAAAAATAAGATACAACAATAATACCTGCTTGTAAATCTGGCCTTTCTGCAATTCATGAATTTTGTCCCAAAGCAAAACACCCCTTTCAGTCACTTTGCGGAAAGGTCTAAAAAAAGAGAGGGAAAAAAATCATCAATTAGGGCCAGCTTCACAGTAAAAAAAAAGTTGTGTTTTTTTAAAAAAAGCAGAAAGCAGCTTAAAGGGGCTGGAGTAGGTCAAAACACCCCTTTGCGCAGCGCTCATGGGCTGTATGGTGCTTGCTCTGCATGATGAAAAAGGGGAGGAGTTAAAGCAGCCCTGTCCCTCAGTGAGAATATGCAAAAACATTATCCTTTTGCAATGTTCCTTGGACATATGGGGTTGATTTAGCACTACGAAAACTGGGAAAGAAAGCAATCCCGTCCGTGAGCTGAAGTATATACAAACAGCATTTTACATTATGCTTCTAGTCTGTATGGAGCTGGCTTAGCACTGGGGAAAGGGAGGGAGCCTAAAGCAGCCCCCTCCCTACTCCTGCTTTTGGCTTTTTTCCTTTTTTGCTACATGAACCCAGCCCCATATAGCCCAGCAGCCCAGCCAGGTATATCTCATCAACAAGAGGAGCAAGATGGTGGTGAAGGTCATCTGAGGTAATGGAGCAGTGAATAGCAGGGGGCTAGAAGGACATTGATGGGAGGGGAGATAAGTGGGTGCAGGAAGTTGCAACTTCCATGAGGTTGTGTAGGTGAAGGTGAAGTGGCAAGCGCCTGAATTTTAATCATGTCACCACAGAGGGGCTGCAACAGCCATTAACCTCAGGCAGAGGTCATAAATCCCTTTGTTCAATGCTATTGTAATTTCAAATAGTCACTGAACAACTAATTGTACCTCAAGGACTACCTGTAGTTGCCAAAACACCAATCTAAGGTAACCAGAGATCTGCAATTTTCTGATAAGGAGAAAAAATAGACATGAGAAGTAAATACTGTATACTAGCTACCACTTTGACCTATTGAGCATTGGGTCTCAAATATTAGCAGGATAACTGAAAATTTCCAAGTAAGTGCATCAGAAATCTAACTGGTAAGATTAAGGTATCACTTCATGCTATCTTGCTCAGCTTGGTGCTATGCATCTGCATTGGACTTCAATTGATGCATCCCAAAACCCATTCCTATGAGAAATATCTGAAAGGTTTCAGTTTAGAACAGGATAACTAGAACCAAAGTTAACCAGGAGAAACTCCTGTTTCTCTTCTCACTCACTTGCCTAGCTTTGTCTCTAACCCAGTGGTTCTCAACCTGTGGGTCGGGACCCCATTTGGGGTCGAACGACCATTTTACGGGGGTCGCCAAACAAGGCTGTCCACCATTTTTCCCCCTTTTCTTTGGCCACGTCCCTGGCACCCGGTGATGTATAAGTGGTTGGGGGTCACCACAACATGGGGAACTATATTATGGGGTCACGGCATTAGAAAGGTTGAGAACCACTGCTTTAACCTATCACATTGGGAGTTATGCAGATGAACTCTGCAGCAGAACCCTAAGCTTCTCCAGCTCCTGTCCTGGTATGCCATATCACAATTTCACAGGCAGCATAAATAAATCTTTATTTACATGTTGCTTTTCATCTCAGAGACATCAAGATGGTTTCCATGAAAACACACATACACACACACACACACATATTGATTCAAGCAATGCAATCTGGTAGATAATATAAATAAAATTATTCTAAAGAGTTGGCAAAAGATATATCTCAGCTACTCTTCTAACGGCAGAGAACACAGCAGTTCAAATGCAAGTTCTGAGCCTGGGGACAATGCAGTAAATCTTGGGCAGTAGCCATTTTTAAAAGAGCTTCTCTGGCCCACTGCAATGCTTGAGCGAGTTCATCACGACAAAGGCCATCTTACAGATATTTATAACTCAGCAGCAAGGAACTCACCTTCTCTTATCATTGAAAAAGTTTGGCTTTTCTGCCTGGACAATGACTACATCAAAGAGATCCCTCCAATCTTTTCCAACTATAAACTTCATGCCTCTGTCCCTATAAAAAGTAATCCAACATTTAATAACACAAATATAATTTTGAAAAGTGACAACTAATGGTTAATTTTAAGATGAAATTTTTGACAGGTTTATGCTCAAAGAAACCACCTACACAAAGCTGCTAGGACTATTTGTGATCAGGAACATCTTCTTTCCATGAGCTGCCAGCTTTGCTAACACAGCACGTGTCTGCTCAGCATAACAAATGTATTTCTCTAGAAAACAGAGAACAAGATAAGGGGAAAAAATCATAAACAGTTCTAATTGAATGAATGTTTATAGCAAAGTCTCTTTTTTTTTTTTGCATAAGTCCCAAATTCAGCATTACCACTAAAAACAAGCAATCTTGGAGGTCCTTTGATGAAAAAACTGCAATGAAAAGCCTACTCGTATATTAAATGTTTAACTATTATTAGGGCTACTTAAGACAAGCAGTAGTATTGAAGAGCCCATACCTTTGGGAATGCTCCACATAGTTGCCACAACACTGGAGACTTTTAGTTCACACACACTGGACCATGGCAACAATCTATGACCTTGAGGGTAGCTGACTGGATTACAAGCATTGCAGACATATGAACCAATGCATGGAAATAGCCTTTGTATGGAAACTGGCATCACTGCATGTAGAATTTGATCTATTTTATTTGGCATTACCTTCCCATTTTTTTCAGACTGGTTCCTATAAACAAAAGTCAGTTCTTAAGAAAACTACCTAGATGTACCATGTAGATGAACTGATGATAGTATAAAATTAATTGTTGCTGAAAGATGGTCCGATCATAAGATTCCAGAGACATATTCAGAAAGCTCTAAGGTTTTAACCTGGCATAGAAAATTGATTTCAGAACAAATCTTAAATAAAGAACGTAAGCTTTACCAAAATGTAAACTTGTGACATCTCAAGAGTTGTTCCTAATAATCAGACATGTATAAATATATCAGCCTGCAAGAACTGGCTTTTCTAGACCCTGACATAATATGTGATATTTCTTATCTTACAGGCAAAAATTCTTATTCTTAACTTACCTAACAGTTTAAGAATACTTCATGTGCCAAGATTTTAAAATTCTTAAATATCTAAGCATCTTCATATGAATGCACTTAGCATGCAAGTTGAATTACAAATTATTTACTTTGGGTTTGCCACATTTGCATTCACAGAAGGCAATTTGTTTCAGTTATTGCCTACATGCTACATACTATTATGAAAAGGTTACAGAGCCTGTTCGTTATCGCTGTAGGATCTATTACAGAAATCAGTTTTGAATATAGTTAAAAATAAACTGCAACCAGAAGTTTTGGACAAAGATGAAATTGAACTTGTTAAATTATTTAACTTCCATTAACAAACCAAAGCATATTAGGCAAGAGTCTATTTTTAGGGAAGAATTATGGAAGCAAAGGTTTGATAATCTTTTCAGATTCACTTTTATTTTTTAAAAAAAATTACCTCAAACTTTACAAGAAGTAGCAATATAATTCTAAAAATGCCATGATTTAGATACCAAAATCTTGCAAGGTATTGTATGTGCACCATGAAATCTTGGCAATTCATTTTTAAATAAAAATAATGCAAATGATTTTCAGGTGCCAGTGGGCTAATTTAAAGGTCAGAGAATTAAAGCAATAACATAAAATCCATCAATAGAAGAAAAAAGTGATCTCTTCAAAAAAAATTCACTTATGCTCACCAATATCTGCTTCAATTGCACGGTACATTATCCCTTTGATGTGTACATCTCTGATTGAATCCTGTTAGGAAAATGAGAATGAGAATCAGATATTTTTCTATATAAATAGAGTTATATCTGATGGGCAAAGATATTAATTAGGACCTTCTACTATATTACTATAATTACTTCAGTTGCTGATAAATTGCTGGGAGCATGGCAAAACAAGGTATTAGCAAGCCTGTGACTACCAAGGGTTATCCAAGAAAATAATTATTCACTCAGGGATTATTAGTAATATCATCCAGTTTCCTACTGCTCAACTTTATGATTAGGAAAATAGATTGGTTTCAACCTTGCATTATATTACAGATTAATAATTTTCCCAAATAAAACCCAAATGGTTTGCACACACTAAGCATAAACCATGTTTTTAAAACCATAATATCTGGGCTCACATAAGCAGGCCAGATGATGGTTCACATGCTGTGTGAACTTTCAGAATAAGTAGTTACCCATATCAAAGTCAAAATTTTATATTTGTTGAATTCGTTCATATCAAAGCAATTTGCTCAAATTAAGTTAACACGACTCTCATAAATTCATAATTTCAAAACTTGTATGTTAACAAGCCAGGTTCATAAACCATTGGCTAGATCCTATTTACATTTTTAATGTAGTTTAATGTCAAAATAAGCCATTTTCTAAGAGAAATTGAATTCTGATGTATAAATTATGTAAGTTAAGTTCATATATCGTTTCTCACTATGAATAATTCTATTCTGCTAATCATGGAAAGTTGACTAAGGTACTGAATGCCTATAAATCTATCTACCTCTTTCACATTCAGTTTCTCAGATTAAGCATGGAAAGACTACAATCTGTTGCAAGAGTTTTTCATCCAATCTGCCAGTCAATCCCAAATTCATGCAAATAAGGAGATCCATATGTGTTTGGTCAAACATAGTGACCCTGTCCCTTCAGCACTTTCTCCACATGTTTCTGACATACAGTTATCTGGTCAAAGTTTTCATTCAAGTTTTAAGCTTTTATTTAGATATTGCTCACACATTTCCAAGGATATTTTTCAACCATGAAATCCAGAAACTTTGTTTCTAAAGACTCAAATCTTGTTTTCAGTAACTAGCTGTATCGACAGGAAAATGAAGTATATAAATATCTAAAAGATATCTAAAAATGAGCTAAACCTGTATGAAGCAAACATCTTTCATACTTTGAAACTAATAGCCAAGAAGAACAAGCTATAAGTTTTTCTCTGGGTCATAATATTTTAATATAATGGAATTACCGCTTTTTTATAGTAATGGTTTTTTTATTGTAGACCTGAAGGATTATGGCTCCTAACAATTATAAAATAATCATCTGATATATGTATCAAGAAATAGGGTCCCATTCCCGAAGAATGGGTATTATGAGAATTGAAGTAGAATACAGCTAGAAGGCATCAGGCTGGGGAAACTGTTATATGGATGACTGTCACACTGGGATAACCCAATACCTTCACATCTTTGTAGAGGTGCACTGGCTCATAGTCAATATTGTTCTTCAGAAAATACTCATTCACACAAGACAGGAGAGTCATCTCAGGCAAGGAAAAGATATCCATGAACTGTTTCATAGTGTGACCTTGTGAACTCTGTAACCAAAGATACCACATTCATATATGTGCTATAAAACAATATCACATATTTCAGAAAGTGTTAATAATGCCTTCAATCAGCCTACAAGCAACGAAGAGAAAGATGACATATAATAACTTCTCTTAGTCTGGGCCAATTACAATTTAGTCAGATTAGCAGATACAAAAGACAGTAAATTTTTGGTACCATCTCCAATGAATATACAATTGGTTTTATCATTGCTGTCCTTAGAAAGATCTTTAAACCCATTTTATCGAAAGATGTTGTGCTAGCTTTTAAACTGTTTACACCTAAATTTTATAAACTGGTAGTGACGGGTTCCAAGGTACTCATGGGTATTTTTCTTGCCATCCCTCAAGCTCTGTCCCTTCTCTCTTTTTACATTAAAAAATAAGAAATAAGCAGTGAAACTGGGTCATTGCAAAACTAAGTTTCCATCACAAATTTTACTTCCAAACCCAAGAGGCTGCAAATAGGCTCCTTAATTTTTCTTAGAGCATAATAATGAACAACTACATTTCATCACTTTGTTGGGAAGGGACCAGTAACATCTATGGGTAGGAGAAGAAAAAGTTCAAGATGGTGGCTATGATCATGTAGTGAAGGTCACCTTCTTGACTTTTAAAAATCTCCTATTGACAGTTCTGGTGTGTAAAGGTAATACAAGGAGATAGGAAACATTCTGTTGGAAGAGGCAGGACATTTAATTGGATGGCAGGCACTATTCTCCAAACTGGTCCTTTACATTTCTCTTGTGGCGTCCATTTTATGGTGCAGCAAGCCTTCTGAGACACTTGGCGAAAATGCCCACAACATACTCAAATTTAAATTGTAGCCACTAGCCCAGAGGTAGGCAACCTTGGCTCTTTTATGACTCGTGGACTTCAACTCCCAGAATTCCTGAGACAGCATGGCTCAGCTTGGAAACCTCTCCTTCCCCTCAGCATGGCTGTCTCAGGAATTCTGGGAGTTGAAGTCCACGAGTCATAAAAGAGCCAAGGTTGCCTACCCCTGCACTAGCCTATAAGAATTGGAGAACCCTAGTTTCTGTTTTAAAGGATTTTGTCCTGGATTCTAAATATGCTTTAGATTACTGCTTTAATTTGAAATCTCAAAAATCTCCTCTGCCTTGCAGAAAAACAGAAGTAGTGAGACGCCTAGTTGTAAGTTAGTATTCTACAAAAGATGCAGAAGAAAAACATACTTATATGAATTCAAATTTCTATGTAACAGAAAATGACTCATAGTTTACTTTCTTTTTTATAATACCTTTAACTCTCAACATTATATATCAAAATACAAACTAATATAAAAGGGAAAGGAAATGACAAAACACATTAAAAGTGTCAGAAAAAAAGTTTTACCTTTCCATAGAAGTCGCTCATTTGTTCCAAAGGCACATGGGAACCATCATACATAGCAATTACTTCTTCATCTGGTACAACATTCAATCCTCTGATAATAACAGCAATGATATTAATGCAAAAGCCAAGCAGGTTTTACCAATTAACAGGTATATATACAATTTTCTAGCCTGCCATAAGCAATATGCTACTATTCAGAACAATTTTAAATTCTCTATGTTGCTAATTGGGATAAACAAATTATCAAAAAAAAAAACCTCAGTAATTGGTGATTCCTGAGAACATCAGGAAAAGCCCTACTGCATGTTCCTTGAACTGAAATAGCTTACTGTCATAATTCACAGGTGAGTTTTCATTATGATAACGTGATCTGTACTGAAATTGTTCCTGAAATTTGTGAGAAGACCAGATGAGCAGTTTCTGATTCTGCAACTGTTTTCTTTTCCCCCTCTTTTAAATTGTTAATATTTTAAATGTATTGCTTTTCATGAATAGTTAATATGGTGCAATCCACTTTGAAATGCTTTTATTTAAGAAACAATCCAAAGTATATTAAGTAAAATAACAGATTCTTATTATCCTCAGTAGTAGCATAATACTGGAAGGCAGGAGTGCTACTCCTAGCTGGTAGATTAAGATGAAGTTTCAGAAACATAAAATGTAATTTATATTATCTATAATAGTGACAACATTTTAACATTTGGTGATGGCACACTTTCTTTTACTGTACTATTATCTTCAGGGACCAGAGACAAAAGAGAGCAGGACAATAACATGGTGAAGTTGTGGAAATAAGTGGATCTAAATGATTCCACATTTGGGGGGAAATTCTCATTATTTTGCTTCCCCCCACCAATCCTCTAGTATTATTTTAGGTGTGTTAAACCTATCCAAAGACTTAATGCACTTCGTTTCATGACAAAAATTAGCCACCAGTGCTTGAGGACATGACAATTTGTTAAATCAAGGGTTTCAATTTCAAGAAAGTATTGTGGATGACATTCAGTGTGCAAAGTACCCTCATGCCTGTTTAATTCATGGGTTTTCCAAAGGTCATTACAAAGTGGCAAATGAGAATTAATCTTCTCCCCAGTAAGTATCCTGGATGAGTAACTGCGCAAAGACTGAAGGCAATGCAATGCAAAATATATCTAAATAGAATTAAGCCCTTTATGAATCCAGTGGCTTTACTTCTAAGTACAAGATATTAAGTTTTAAATGCTAGGGTAACTTTTTCAGCTAGCATCTTCCATCTTGTGGGTCTTTGATACCTCTAAATCTTTGAAGACCATACTAGTTAGGAAGCAAACATTTTTGCACACCAGTTTATGCCAAATATCTCTAGGTTAAAACTTTTAGCTTAAAACACTGTAGATTAAATATAAAGTTTCTTTATTATAAAAAAATATCTAGCATTATAGCATGCTACTAATTTTTGTTTAATAAATTCAATAGTTAGTTTATATCCCAATTTTTAAAATGCAGCAATGTAACCTAATAGAAGATAATTGTTTCAGAGAGATGCAACTGGGTTTTTAAACATTTGCAGAAATTGAACAGACTGAATAATCAGTAAGACTGCAGAATTAACATTATTCTTATATCTGAATTTTTGCTGAGCACAAACAGAATGGTGATTCATGCTGAAAAATATTTAGAATCAGTCTTGCTAGCAAAACTGATTGCAAACAGTGGAATATTTTTAGCAACCTGCCAGTACGATTTAGCAGCTGGAAGCAAGAACATTAGTCAGCTAATCCACTCCAGCTAAACAATATATATTTAAAAATGGCTTTCAAATCCTATCTTTTGAAGTACTACAATCTGTATTTCTTGGATGTAATGGGAAGAATGGTTAAAGAATGACTACAGATGGCATTCTGGATTGTTCCACCATTAATGCAGAAGGTAGAACAAAGTGAAAGTCAAAGTGCTGCATAGAGAACACAGTTGATGATGACTATTTGATGATAGTCACACAAGGCAGGAGTTCATTCTACTCTTATATTGCTATTATAGTGATACAGATACCCAGAAGAAAAAATGCTTCCTGTCTCACCTGTACACAGTTCCCAGTTGAATGTAGTGAAAAGCATCAATCTTCATTAATAATGCCTTTAAAGCAAGAAAAGTTACAGGCTAAACTTATAAATCACCCTAAACAATTTTGATTAAATTTCAGAGAATTTTTTTTTGCCATTACTACTACATGTTTTAAAGATATGCTTCAGTTAATCAGTATCTACAATTAAATATTATGATCAGAAATCTTAGAAGAGTTGTTTAACAGCAACCGATCAGGGCTAATATTCATTGATAAACATCTTTACTAATTTTATAGAAAATTAGAGTCAGAGGCAGCTAAATGACCCATGGATATATTCATCAATTCACATTTACATGGTTATTCATCTTCATTTAGAATTCAGTGGTGCTGTTCTTGAGTTCAGTTGACAAAAGGAAACTCCATTTGATCCTGGTAATCGCAACCCTGCTATGATTTACAGAGATTTAAAATGAAATATTAAACATGCTCCTATTATTTATGTTTGGCAAGCAGATTTTGGAGCATTGAGAAAGAGAACTGTCAATTTCACTTCTGTTTTGATTGTGAAAGATACAGTTTGGTTATGAGCAGCTCTTCCCCCTCAAAAAAAATATTACACATCTAAAATTACATATTTTATGGTTTGATTAGAGATAGGAAGACAATGGAGGGGATTATAGAATTATATACAACTGTGGCAGACAAAAGGAGAAAATTGAGGTTTGTTTTATTGTACTTCATCTTAGTCCAAAGGTTAACATTTTATGTCCCCCTCATACCTTTTTATATCTTTTGTTCCTATGCCTTCTTTTACATTTTTATTGACTATATTCTTTCCACATCCCTTACATTATATGACCATACTAAAGATTGATACTAATCTCTCTACTGGAGTAAGCAACTGAGACTGAAAAAAATGTTCTTCTGCCATTTTAAAGCCAACTTCATTTTCCTGTGAAGTCTCAAAAATAAAGAAGCATTTCAACTAGGGACAATGGATTAAGTACTCTGGCACTTTCCACTTCCTGAACCTGAACAGAATGCAAAATTGTGTGATGTAGCTGCAGTAACACTTGAGACAAGGTAACCAAGCAATCTGTTGAGTTGTCATTCTCTCTGGAGCCAGAAAAGGGTGGATGATTTGTAATCTGAGATTACAAATTGCAGACCTTGAGTTCTTCCTAATAATTTTTTATCTGGTAATATGTTATATATTACTGTAAGGTGTATGCTGTAAGGTAACTTTGATTTTGAAGAAGACTGAGAATACCACAGACAGCAAAAAGTACAAACCAATATATAATTGAGCAAATCAGCCCAGAGTTCTCAATCAAAGCACAAATGACCAGGCTCAAATTATCCTACTTTAGACCCATTATGCTAAGACCCAGCTCTCCAGAAAAGGCTCTAATGCTGGGAAAGGTGGAGAGAAAGAGAAGAGGAGGATGACCAGCAGCAAAGTGGATGGACTGGTGGTGGTAATGAGTGCACCACTGAGAGATCTGAAAGAACAGGTGAGGGACAGATCATCAAGGAGGAAAGCTATCCATGTGGTTGCTAAGAATCAAAAACAATTTGATGGCGTATAATTGATCAATTAACTTGTAAGGAACCTTGGGTTTAATACATAAGAGCTAATTTCTAATACCATTTCTTTAAATATTATTTCAAATTTGAAAAGTAAGTATGTTCACTTCCATCTGGCAACTATTTCAGACTACTTAGAAATGAAAACAGATAATAACCAATGAAGTTCCAACTAAACAATCCATACCTACCCGATGCACATCATAATGAAGCCCTCTTATTGCAAAATTTGGATCATAGTCATACTTGCGGATTTCTGCAGGATACTGACAAAATCATAAAAATAATAGTAATTTTAGTACACAATACAAGCCATATATGAAATACATCTCAATAGATCTAGTGAGGTCCAGTTCCCTTTCTTCTATTTCTACAAAATGCCTCTCTTGTTTTCAGTTTTATCAGGAAAGCTACATCATAATCTGTAGCCACACCATGGATGGAACTTAGAAGGGGGAGAGAAAGCAAGAATACACAGCCTATAGTCCTAGAGAAAGGGTTTTGTACTCCAAAACTCTTCCACACATTACAGTTAAACTGTGTTTCTGAGACAATAGAACAAGTAAATTATTTAATTTACTAGGAGCGGTCTTAATTTATTGTAAATTCCCAAGAAACCTTTTTATCATCAGCATAATAAGCTTAAATGTCTTTGGACATTCGGAAATGTCTTCGGACAGTGCTAGCTCAATGCCCTTGAAACAGCGATGAGCACCGTCCCCTATAGACAGCAACAACTAGCGGAATAATAGCAATAGCACTTAGACTTATATACTGCTTCACAGCTCTTTACAGTTTACAGAGTCAGTATATTAATAAAATCCGCAGGTACTTCTTTACCTTACCTTTATATAATAAATTTAATAAATAATTAATCTGAACTAAATTTAAAGGATTTTCTCCCTGGTACCAAACACTTTAGCTTCTATCATGCTAATTAAATGCAGGTTTTACATGCCCACAATTATCCAATCAAATCTTGAGAATGCTTCTTGGGGCTTCTTAGAGCAGACATGTCAAACTCCAACGTCATGTGACGTCGCGCAACATATTGGGACGCTTTTGCCATTGCCGGCAAATGGGGTGGGTGCAGCTTCTGGGTGACGCGTCCAGCCTGTGGGACAGCAGTTTGACACCCCTGTCTTAGAGCTTTTAAATATTTTTGCAGGAAGATGTATAGCTGACGGACTGAACTATATACCTCCCTCTGATGTGATCTCAGAGCTGAAATCACAAATCCTAGGCTACAAGACAACAAGCACCAAAGATAAAATGTTACAGGCACTTGTTTACAAGGTAGTGAAACTGTGCTTTAGTCTGTTATTTCTTAGCTTTTCAGTTCAGCTCTCCTAGTACTTACTCCTTTCTTTCCTGTAATTGCAACATTGCCAAATAATACAAAAAAAAGCTAAAACATGTGAAAGTTTGGAAATACTGCCTAACTGATCCTCCCTCTCAGCAATATGATACGTTTCCACATATTTATTGTATTTTGTTCAAAGAAGACAATTTAAATTTAGAGAAAAAAAATTCCGGCTCTGTTTATCCAAGGCATTACAACAGTGCTACAGACTGCAATTAAAAGGGCTAGTTACAAAAAACGTTGGTTAATATTTCCTTCCCATTTCTCTCCTTCTCAGATATCTGTAACACTGTCTGAAAAGTTTTAATCAAAACTATCTGTTGACAAACTTTGGGCTCTACTCAGAGGCATCTAGATTACATTTTTTTAAAAATTAGGGACTATTGTCTGTCTGTCTGTCTGTCTAGCTATCTGTCTGTCTGTCTATCTGTCTATCTATCTATCAAAATAAGGCATCATGCTATCTTAAGAATCCTTAGAAGAGTAACAAAAGATTAAAGAAAACCCTCTTAGACTCCTTTATAGTTTTACCTGTTATTTTAATTTCTACTGCATTACAAATGTGTAATCTCAGCATCTGCAGGAAGGCCATTTCTTAAATTCAGACACCATTGCTCACTCTTTCCTTCCATTCACATTCATACTGCCTCTACAGAAGAGGAGGTTCTGTGAAACAAATTTTCACACTTGCTGTCTCTACCCAGCAGAACTTAGAAAGCTGGGGAACATTCATTAAATTGCACTTGATCTAGTTTTATTCCACCGAACAAAACACAGGTAATTCTTGGTCATTATTCTGGTTCCATCCAATGACTAGCCTTGTAGAAATAGTTCTATTCCAGGCTTGTATTAAACCAGAGATTGCAACCAGTTGTGGGTTAAGATCCAATTTCTTATTTACTATTACAAAGATATTTATAGATATGAATATATAGCCACTGACCTTTGGACAGAAATGTAGCTCTGGGTACTGTATGCTTAACAAACTATATTGGGAACTCAGTTCACATAGAAAAAAAAATGTTCCTGCCTTCATAGTATACAGAATGTTAATATTTGTGTTTATTAATGCAATGAAGTCCTTTGGTTGGGACTGCATTCTAGGCAGCAAAATTAGCAACGATAATTCTATTTACTTTCAAACAAGGGATTTTTTTTATGATAGCATAGTTACCTATTGCACGTTACTACAGTAATCTGTTAATTGAACATTTTCATCTCCCATATAGATAGTCCTTGATATTCGTTTAGCAATTGTTTGATGTTATAAAGGCACTGAAAGTGATGGGTTTCACACTTATGGCCATCACAGCATCCCCAGCATCATGGATAAAAATCCAGGTGCTTGGTAATCAGCATGTATTTACAGTGGTTGTGGCATCACAGGGTCGTGTGTTCACCATTTGCAACCTTCTCAGCCAACTTCCAACAAGCAAAGTCAATGAGGAAGCTGGATTTTCTGAACAAACCGCATAATTCAGTTAACAACTGCAGTGATTTGCTTAACGATGGCAAGAAAAGGCTGTAAAATTGGCTGCCACCCACTTAACAACTTTCCAACTGTGGCTGTAAGTTTAGGACTACCTATATAGAATTTTCTAAAATTCTATAGTCTCAACATAATGGGTTGCCCCTGTCCAGGAAAGCCATTCCCTCCTCTGAAATCTCACAGATATACGCAAAACATCTGTACACTTCTTCTTCTATATCAGACATGTCAAACTTGTGACGTCACATGACGTCATACAACATATCGGGACAGTTTTGCCATTGCCAGCAATGGGGTGGCCGCGGCTTTTGGATGACATGTCCGGCCCACGGGCCGGCAGTTTAACACCCCCGTTCTATATAGTGGAAGGTAGGGTACAATGGTCCCCTTACACTTTTGCACAAAGAAACAACTGCTGCAGGTGGAGTTTGGACCTAGAGAGCACAGGTTTGGGGGAAGAACTGTCCTGTCAACTGACATCATCCAGCTAAGTGGTACAGGTGGTCCTCAACCTATGATTTTAATGAAGCCTGACCATTATAATTATGACAACTCTAAAGCAGGTCATCATGTGACCAACTTTGGGAGTTTATTGTAATTTTGGTCATAAGTTGAGGACTACCTGTACAGTGGAGTTAAAAATGAAATTCCCCACTCCTGAAAGATAACATAGCAATAATAATGCCTGTCCTCAAAGCTTTTGACAAACTATTCCCCCAAAATTCATGAATTTAGGCCTATTCAGATTCTAAGGCAACCTTAGCCCTAGGTTCAGTCCAGATGTGCAGATATCAACTCTCAGAATTCACTTTGCAAGCATGGTCACTCCTGTGAATTCTGAAGTTGTGGTTTGCACATCTGGAGAGCACAACATTTGGGGAAGGGTATCCTGTAAACTGATCAATCTTAAGGATGACATCATGATTATAGACTCTTCTAAGAAATTATTATTAAATTTTTAATTCTGGATTATCTAAATTCATTCCAAAATATTGCATGTCATATGCTAAGAAAAAGCAATGATGTCAATCTCTTGCCAATTTAAATTCTTGAATCCACTTGAACAAAAATCTATGCAAGTTCTGAAATGTAATTTATGTCAATACAACATAGTTTTTTCATATGCTTTTTATCCAGATTTCCTTTCTTGCTATACAATTAGCTTAATTAAGTATCTGAATTTCCAGTATATTATGGCACCACCCCATCCTGGTCTATCATCTTACCCGATGTTCATTGATCAAAAGGTCCCGGGCAGCATTAAAAATCAACGTATGCAAATGCTTGGAATAGAAGACCAAAGTGTAGTCATAATCAAAGCCGTAGATTTCTACGTCTGAAAGACTCATTTCATTGTTGGAAAAGATGGCATCCGGATTCAGCAAATTATTCATGATTGATGGGACTAAGTCTATGGAAGAAAAAGACACACATAAACACTTGTTCAAGAATAAGCATTCATAATATATATCATGAAAGGGATGCAGCTACATAAAAGGCACTTGATACTATTCTTTAGCTAACATGAGGCTAATTCTAATCTGTTCAGTAGCTCATTTGGACAGTGGCCCCTCAGATTTTCCCAAAGGAAGACCAGGATATAAATATATAACAGGGAAACAAAAAGCAGAGCCATTGCAAGCTAAGCAATAAACTTGCTACTTGCCATTTACATGGGCAATTTCATGGAATGAGCCAGATGGTGAAATTAACTCAGAGTCAGGATGAAGTTTTTGAACACCAAATCCATCTGTAATAAACAGACTAATCCACAATTGAAAATGAAAGTACACAGAGACTATCACTGAAATGTGGCTGGATGAAGTGATATTATTCCTCGCAGAGATCTGTCCTGCTGGGTTTCATGTTTTGTTCAATCCTAGTCCGAAGCCAGGGAAAATGATATGGTAATCATTTACTGGGAAATGCTAGCTGTCCTAAACAATATTGTTCTGTAAGCCAGAAGTGAGGTCTTAACTGAGATGCTGAACTAAAGGGACAAGCTGAGAGTACAGTTATTTTACTGTCTTCCCAGTTAAATAGTGGCACCCCTCTCCGTCACCTATGAGATTTCATTGTGGGGTTGGCTATTTCAACCTCCCCTCTCTTTGTTCAATGGAGCCCACCATGAGTGTAGTGGGTTTGTCCCAGATCACCATTGACCCAACATGTGGCTGGCTGCACTTCTGATTTGTTCACCTTGGGATAAATGTTCCATGATTTCATTCTTCGGAACGTTCCCCTGAATCCATTTTAATGAACAGATTACTTACTTACTCACTTACTTATTTATTTATTTATTTATTTATTTATGAGACTTATATACCGCTTTAAGTGCAAGCACTCTCTAAGCGGTGTACACCAGTAAGCAATGTATATATATATTTACATTGCCCCCAACAATCTGGGTCCTCATTTTACCTACCTCGGAAGGATGGAAGGCTGAGTCAACCTTGAGCCGGTAAGATTTGAACTGCTGACCTGCTGAACACAGTCAGCTAAAGTGGCCTGTAGTACTGCACTCTAACTGCTGCGCCACCTCGGCTCTTATGCTGATAGAGTTAACTGAAGCTTAGAGGCAACAGCTTCTCTTTGAAACACAAAAGACTCTTTTTCTAGATAACCTTTGCCTGTTAAATGCTTATTGAAATGGTTTCCCCTTTTGTATTTTAAAAGTGTGTGTCTATACTTTTGTCTAGGACATCTCAGCAAGTGGTATGACCTAGGTCGGTGGTGGCGAACCTATGGCACGCGTGCCAGAGGCGACACTCAGAGCCCTCTCTGTGGGCGTGCACACTGTTGCCCCAGCAGAGTTCACCAGAGTAGCGAGCATGTGGCGTTTGGAAGCGAGAGGGCAGGAAGTGAGTGAGCAAGGGGCATTGACTCCCCGGGGATGCCCCGGAGATGATGAGGGACTGGCCCCCGCCACCCTGGCCCCGGCCATGCTCACCCAGTCTGCCATGACCATTTCAGGCATGCCCACCCAATGGGCCATGCCCCCACGCCCTTCCTGAGGGCACCACAATGCTGATGCAGCCCTGGCACTTTGCGATAAATAAGTGGGTTTTGGGTTGCAGTTTGGGCACTCAGTCTCTAAAAGGTTCACCATCACTGATCTAGGTAACTTTATCTTAGCTAAACAGCTAAGCAGGGTTTGGCCTGGGTAGCACTTGAATGGGAGACCACCAGGAGATGTACAGTAAGAGCTTTATGCTACACCAAAAAGTTTTTTTAAAAAAGACACCCTAGAAAAATGCAATGGCAAACTACTTCCACAATATTGCCAATGAAACTATTGTGATAAGTCACCAGGAGTCACATTCAAAAAAGTAGTTAAAATAAAAATTCTCATTCAGGTATAAAGTTAATCTTATTCATAAAATTACTATGAAGATGAAACTGGAAGCCAATTTAGGCTATCCTGAGTTCACTTAAATGTAATGATGCTCAGAGGTTAAATTTGAAATTCATAAAACATTTGTTATATGGATCATAACAGATAACACTGAGACACTTGAGTATTAAATATAATTTTTTTTTAAATTTTATTTATATGCCGCCCAATCCCAAAGGACTCAGGGCGGCGTACAAAATTAAAACAATCATCTAACAATAGTACAATAAAATAATACAATCATGCCGCATGTCCGATCATATCCCCCCCCCCAGGGACATCAGCCCCAGGCCTGCCGGAACAGGAGAGTTTTAACGGCTTTCTTAAAGGCTGGCAGGGTGGGAGTAGTTCGAACCTCAGGGGAAGTTGATTCCACCAGGTCGGAGCCACCACAGAAAAGGCCCTTCCCCAAGGGCCCGCCAGCCGACATTGTCTGTCCCATAGAAGGAGGCCCAATCTATGGGACCTCACCGGTCTCTGGGAACTGTGCGGCAGTATGCAGTCCTGTAAGTAACCTGGCCCTATGCCATGAAGGGCTTTAAAGGTGATAACCAACACCTTGAATTGCATCCAGAGACCCACAGGAAGCCAGTGCAGCTCGCGGAGGATAGGTGACACGTGGGCGTACCTTTGTTAAAGCTATGTTGACTTCACACATTTAAAGATTCAGATCCATGCACACGACAAATGCCATATGACAAAACAACATGTGTTATTTTGTTGTATGATAAAAGTCAATTTTAATTACCAAATGAACACATTGTTTGATATTTATGTATAACAGAGAGATTGAAAAACTGAAGAGATTTCCATCTTGGTCCAATTCAGAACTGTCTTTAGAAATGTCAAAACAGAATATCAATAGAAGGTATGTAGAAAGAAGAACTAATAGGCAGATGTTGGACAAATAAAGCAGGAAAAATTCCCACTGATTTTACCAATATGGGATATTCTACCTTTAATTTTTAATGAGCAGTTAAAAAGTTTCTGCAGCTTTTATTTAACATTTCCTTAAATTATATAATAGTTCTTTTCCATATTAACTTATATTTAAAATAATCATCTCATCTTTCTTACATTATATGTTTATAAGCTATGTTACTACTTAAAGTAGATTGAAAAGCTAAATTACACTGAGATATAAAGAGTGTATTTTATAACATTAAACAATATTGGATTTTATGGTTAGAAAAAACAAATCTATAATTCTTGGAGAACAATACATGCAGCAAAATACATGGCCAAATTGTTCAGCAAAGTTAGTATCAGGAAGCTACATTAAAAAGTTTTACTGTTGCCAACAATTGCAACGGTAACAAAAAAAATCATGACAGACTGTCTCTAAGATTTAGACAGTCTGTTCTCTTCTGTTTAACTTTGTCATCTTTGTGGTTATCTTGACACCACATGAAGAACCTTTTGTTCATTGACCAACTTTTCAGTTCTCGTTATTTTTACCACAGTATTTTAAAGTTTGAATTATTTGATTCTTGTCTTTTGCTGAATTTAATATTACACCTTGTTTTGCATTTTGATTTTTATCATTCCTTATAAGGGTCCCAAAGCATTTAATGCAGCACGAAAAATGTTAAAGAAAACTAAACTACTCCATGATTTGTAGCTCACTTTCTCACTTAAAATATACCAGCACTCATCTTTCTGTCTTCTGTTTACAAAACTTGTAACTTTCTTAGTAAGAAAAAATTGCTGCATAAAAATCCTTACCTAATAAGGTAAATGAAAGAATGTATTCTGGAATACTCCTCAAATCCTGAAGCTATGTAACGTAATTTGGCTTTTTAACAAAATGCATTTAGTATCTGAAACAGGCATAATTTAGCACAGCAGCATGATGCATCTGTCCTATTTAAACAAAAATATGAAAGCATACATGTGTGGGAAGTCAGCCCCCCCCCCCAGAGAAGGAAATATTAAAAAGGCAGAAAAGCATGCCCAGTTTTTCTTAATAGCCCCAAGTCTTCCTCCCCCAAGCAGAAACCAGCTCTGTAGAAATGCAGATGTAAATGATCCAGGAAGGTTGGAGGCTCCCAGCTAGAAGCTTAGGAAGACAAAGAAACCTAAAATCTACATACGGTACCTCACCCAAACTCTAGACAGGACATAATAGGATTAACGCACAGATGCCAAAGGGGCACACTCAGACTCAGGTCAAAGTACATGACACAGGAATTACAAAGCCTCAAACAGGAACAGGAAACAATCTCAAGAGCCCCAGAGGGTATAAAAACCCACTCCCTACATGTGCTTTCTCTCTCTTTTCTTCCAGAGCCATCTTTCTGTCTGGCTCTCCTCTTCAATAAACTGCAACCTTCTTTCTAAAGCAGTCGCCATGTTGGACTGAACCATGATGAAGACTTTTCCTTCAACACATGAAATATACTTTCTGCAACTGGAGCACAAAATCAAGAGAGAAAACTTAACCTAATATGCAGCAGCTGATTTGAAAAGCACTGTGAAAAATGTCAAACACCTTAACTTATATATTGTATTATATAAACTTATTTTAAGAGTACATTTAAAATGAAAATAATAATTAAAAATTCAGTATTGTAAATTGATTTAGAATGAAAAAGCTCTGTGGTCCAGCTTTCAATATGTAGTATGAAGCAGCTTATCTTGAGAAACAAGTATATTATATTTGTACACTACACTAAACTATGGCTTGTTTTAGCACTTCTTTGTTGAATTAGCTACTACTATTCTTACTATCTGTTGAGGAAGGTTACATGAGTCTGATTTGTAGTTTACTTTATTGGAATTCACATATTATGCTAAACCATGGATTGTTTACTCATGATTTGTGAATAAATCAAATTGTCTGATTCACACTACAAACTAGTTCACAGGCCATACAGTATGATAGAACAGAAAAAGAACATTATGGTTGCATACAATGTGTGAACCCCAGATTTATCTTGGGAGTAAAATCACACAGGAACATATTGCTAGTCCCTATAAATTTATCTAATTAGGAGGCTCTCATAACAGTGATCCAT